GTGTGCTTTTTTTTGAGTTGTTAATAATGTGATTTAAATTTACATTTTTTTATGGATTTTGTTATGAATAACAATAAAAAATTGATATATTTCCAAAATGTTTATTAAACTTAAATGGATAATGCTTAATTTGTGAGAAAGATTTTTAATTAAATGAGTATGGTGATTGTTCTCCTAAATGTTAAGAAAATTGCATTTATTGTTATAATGGTTCATGCTTTTAATGTGCTGAACAATATGAACTTTCTAAGAATCGATGCTTGCTAGTTTAGAATTGTTAAATAGGTCTTTATTTTAATTAATAGTTATAAATTTGCTAATCTTCATGTGGTGATGGATATGTAACTGGATGGGAAGAATGTGATGATTAAAATAGTGAAAAATTTGATGGTTGCTATTAGTGCAAATATGTATGTGATTTTAATTGTATATAATGTATATATGGGCAATGTTTACTATGTTCATAAGAATTTAATTTATTTTAGAATAAATGCTTATCAAAATGTGAAGATACTTGCCTTAGTTGTGTTTAAGGAGTATGTTATTTATGCAGCAGTGGGTATTTCTTGAATGAATATTTCATTTGTATAAAAATAGACCCTTAATATGATTTCAGTTGTACACCATATTGTGAAAAGTGTTTGAATGGAATATGTTAATCTTGTCACCTTAATTACCAATTGGATTAATTTAATAATTAATGTCAACCAATTCAAAATTTACCTATAATTTATTAATAACTAAATTGTAAATTATTCAATAATAACTAATGTATACTTTGTTAATTTGGATATCTTGATTTGATTACCAGCACTTGTATAGTTGATGATAATATGAATAAATGCTCTAAAAATTGTAAAAAATGTGTACTTTCCAAGTGTCTAGAATGTATATTCTGGATACAAATTTATGCCTAAATGTGGAGATGGTATTAAAATTTAGGAAGAGGAATGTGATGACGGAAGTGAGTACTAATTAGATTCATGTGTTAATTGTAAATACTAGTGTCCTCAATATTGTATGTCCTGTGCTTAAGGAATTTGTACTAATTTTTTTTCAGGGTTTTATTTGGATATTATAAGTAATTCATGCAATTCTGTTTGCGGTGATAAGATACTAGCAAGTGATGAAGTTTGCGATGATGGCAATTAATTTGGATATGATGGTTGTTTCGAATGTAAATATTAAAGTCGAATGGAGTGTTTAGATTGCTAATTTGGAAAATGTACATCCTGTGAACCACCTTTAATACAATCAAACGAAATTTGTGCATAACTAAATTTACGTGATAATTTAAAAGGATTGTATTATGATAACGATAGTAATGATTGTTTGCCACAATGTGGAGATGGTATTGTTGCAGGCAATGAATATTGTGATGATGAGAATGACGTTCCTTATGATGGATGTAATGAATGCAAATTTTAATGTACAAATTATTGTCAAATATGCAACAAAGGGGAATGTTTTTAATGCGATTCTCACTATAACTTATAAAATAGTTAATGTTTGTAAAATAAAGAAAACGACGATCATAATTCTGGCATTAGTGAAGAAACATAAAATAATCATACCAGTAATAACAATACAAGTAGTTATGATTAAAATACAGAATGGTTGTCATTAAATGACAATAAGATATGCAGAGAATAAGAATGCGTATACTCTAAACAACCAAATATGAAAACTTACGTATAAAATGTAATCCTTTGCTCTGTAGTATGTTGAAATTACATTTGATTAAGAAGTTAAATTTAGTGATTAGCTGAAAACAGACAACCATCTATTTGACATATGCATTAATGACTTAGATTCCAATACTTATAATATCACAATCAATTCTACTCAATAAATCTCAATAGATCTTTAATATCCTTAGTATTTGGTTTAAATTGAATTATTTTACATAGCTTAAAACAAAACCAGTTCTTTTAGTTTCATTGTAATCAAGAAATTGTTAACTCAAACAATTAAACAGTTCTTGAGTTCCTAATTAGTCAATTGTTTTATAGCCACCAAATATAATTTCTTAATAAATTAGATAAGTATCTATTTATGCTTAAACATCCAATAAAGCATTTATGATTGGAGCAATATCAATATGTGTAATTACTTTTGTTACTGGTGAAAATTCTTTTGTAATATCAATCATTCTTAAAATTTATTAATGTTGACTATCCTGAAAACCTTCACATATATTTTTAAGCATAAGAATTGCTATCTAAAACAACTTATTTAAAACTTTTTGAAATTGATGATTATTTAAACTTAATAACAAGAAAGGAAAATTTCATAGAACTAAATGGAAAATTTTAATAATATCATTTAGAAGCTGATCTTTTTACTAATATTTTACCACAATTAATTTAATGTTTAGGTTTGTTAACACTCCTTTATTTTGCAGAAAATATTTATAATATGCTTTTTAGATTAAGTAAATATATGAGGCTTCTTAAAAATGAAAAAACGATATAATCAAAGATTTTATTAGTAGCGATGAAATTTATACTAGTTTGCAAAAATTGCTTCAAATCATTAATGAAAACTAAATACCTCTAGAATTACGGTTAAATAATACAACTTCTTTACGTTAACTCATCTGATTTGATATTTAAAGTGATTTTGCAACTTCATTATACTCAAATAGACAATTTGAGAAGTATTTTAAGTACTTTTTCTGCATTTAAGGTATTTTTCACTTGCATATGCTTGTTATTAAAATCTTTAAGGGTAATCTACGATCCTAAGAAAAAAAAAGTAATAGCAAAACTAGACATAAAATACATTCC